GGCGCCGCAGGGAGCCGCGCCGCTCGGTTCGGCCCCGCAAGTGCGCGGGCTCGCCTTCCTCCGCCGCCCCGAGGCCCGCGAGGCTCCGCTTCGCAGCAGCGCTGCACCTGCCCGCGGCTGTGCTGCGCTCCCCACAGCCCCCAGCCCGCGCGGCGCCCGGGGGGAGAGGCTCCCTCTTGGACAGGGCGCCGCAGGGGGCGGCGACGCAGCAGCCGTGGGGCACAAACGGCGGGCTCTGCGTGCCAGGGGAGCCCGGGAACAGCCCCAGCGGAGCGGCGCGCCCGCGCGGGGCCAGGCCCGCGCGCTGCCCGCGCCGCCGCTGCGCACGCCACGTGGGCGAGGAGACACAGCCCCAGCGCTGCCGCTTACGGCAAAAATAGCCCCCCTCTCCCCCCGCCAAAGTATCTGTGAAATAGCATAACCGCTCTTTCAATTTCCTAGAACAACCTGAGGCACCTTCACGTTCTACTGCCCGAACTATTCCTCTTATTTTCACCTCCATGAAAATAAAAGCACCGAAACAAAAGCCCCACAAAACACATCCTCTACTTTCTCCCACGCTTAACTTGGGGTCTGGACCTGTGGAGATACCTGTGAGAGCAGCTTCCCGCCCGTCAGCAGTTTGACTGCAAGGAGTTGCACTGATGTCATTCACATTTGCTGGCTCAGAGCCTTAAATTTTTCCACTCCTGGTGCACCCTCCAGGCAGGCGCGATCATCCCTGGGAAATGGCAGATCTTCCTCCTTGATAAATAGACCACTCGCTGCCAGAACCATATCCACCTCACCTATTGTCTGTCCCCTGAAATTCCAGAAACCTGCCCAAAGCATCAATTTCCAGTGCTCCCAAAAGGAAGAGTCACAGACAGGAGACACTGTTGCTCTGCACGCCTAGGCAATGCATGCCCACTGCTGTGCTGGAGCACAGAAAAGGACACGTTAGGGGTTGTTTTACTCAGTGGTTTCCAAGCCCCTCAGGAGATCATGCACTACTACTGAGCAGCTGGTAACCAAGAATGGAAAAGATATTGTCACCAGGCTACGGGGTATAGAGGTAAGCACCTCTATAATACACGTTATGCATATATTATTATGTATTATTGATACATTTTTTCATTTCTGTATTTTTTCATTTTTAAGAAGTTCRGTCATTGCAAAAGCCGGAATAATCACGGGCAGGGCCATTTGTCCCACCCTTCTGAGTGCTTTCAAAGAAAGCTCAGAACTGGCTTTTAGGGAACCTTAGACATGAAGGTGCTCTAATTTCCTTGGAGAAAAGCTAGAAAACCCCTTCCTGTCTCAAGCTCCCTGGATCTGAGACTATGTTTTTGTTTTCCTTGAGTCTGCTTTCCTTTGTGTCCACRTCCAGTTTACCTCACGCATCCTATTTGAGGAAACATTTCTCCTGGAAGTTATGCAAAGCCTAACATGCAAGAACAAAAAAAGGAAAGTCTGCAGAACAGTGGGCTGCATTTTAGAAAGTAGTGACTAAAACTGCCTTTTGAAGTCCCCTAGCAAAGGGCCCAACCACAAGTGCTCTGCATTATACACACAGGTAGTCCAGACTTTATGAAGAAGCTAATGCCAAGTAGAAGAAAGAGGCAATTTTGTCTCTGCCTGTTAATCTGGAACAATGTGCTAATGTTTTTTAAAAGAATATTGAAAATTGTAGGGGTGGCTGCCAGAATAACGYGTATCCTGGAAAAGACATTACCAAAAGAAGGTTACTATACCTGCCTAACATTC